ACATTATTAGAAATGGACATGGATTTATAATCAGATTTAATGTAATGTACAATGTTTTGCCGTGGACCACTTTTTTTTATTAATAATATATAAAGCACGAAGGACGTTGACTTACATACATAAACAGCCAAGATATACAGTCTTTCAAATAAATATATACAGATCTATCTGTTAATGCTGGTTTTACAACTATTGGGTACCGCTAGCGAGGAAAATGCCAAATGTTGAACCTGTTTTGTTTTTAGGATCTATGTAGTATATCAGTCATCACTTGTGTTTTAACAAAACACACCCTCTTAATGAAAGTACACTCACTCGCGTCACTCTTGCATCCACCCAACCACGCTCGGCATTCACATTGTGCTTAAAACAAAACATTAGCATTCATTCGCCTTTCTTAGCGCAGCCTTGTGAGTAACACACAATAACACTACAAAACATTAACATTTACCATGGCGATAACTTCATCATTATTATATTTCTTCACTGTACTACTCATAAATATAACACCCGGACGAGACACAAAACTGCGCTAATCTTTCAGCCATCTAACTTTCATACTTGAATATAGATATAGTACATATTACCGAACTAAATGAAATTTTGGGTATTATATCTAATTTCATGTCAAATAATTGATGGCTTATAGGTTTTTGGTACATTGTTGTTCATTATTCGAGGCTGTATATATGGTTGTAACTTTCACATACGTATATAAACATAATTACAATGTTTTCAAATTATAATACAAATACATAACATACTAAGAAACAAACATGGAATTACAATTACCACGACCCAAGAAACAAGTACATACTAACAAAGTTTCATGTGTAATGTATTTGTGTGTAGGTGAACTAAGGTGTGCAATATATTATGTCTTTAGTCTGAGTCTTTTCTTTGGTTAATTTACTTATTGCCTACTATCGTACTCAAGTTATGTTTTGATGGGTGCAACGCTGACCATTAGAAAAAAGAATTTGTTTGAGCTTGATTAAAAAAATGTGTATCTCCCTTGCTCACAAACGTCTTTCTCCATTCATTCTTTCTCTCTTCTTTGCTCTCTCCCTTCTCCATCCTCTCACAAGCAGTATCCGCCATTATATATACAACGTAAATTGCGAATAACATATCATATTATACTTGGGCAAATCAATATCAATATCACAACTATAATTCACGGAGGAGGATATCGTACATACGGCCAGTCATAATAATCGTTCAAATCACCTTACACTCGTTCCCATTCATTTACTAACATTCAAACTCAAAAGAGATAACATTAATGTAATACACGATCGTGCGATGAGTATCTCCTAAAGAAATCTAAACTTCATTTGCATAAAAATCATCACGGAATAACAGCTCAGGTATGGAAACATATCCTTAAGGTTATACAATCAACTCTAATTAATATTGATGTACCGAGGCGGTGAACGGAGGTGATGCATTGTGTATATGTGAGATGTTAAAAGAAGGTGGTTAACTGTGTACAATAATTGTGAAGTATGACCATATGCACAATAGCAAAAGAAAATGCAATATGGATGTGACGCAGGGCTGGTGTGTATTGGATGTGGGTGGAGGTGGGGTCGGTTGGCGTTCAGCAGGCGCTCTTGAAGAGCAGGAGTTAAATTCTGATGTTATCGGGCTGTATGGGTAGCCCCATGGGTCATAAAGAACATCCATGCTTAATGCAAACAAAAATGGTAACAGAAAAGATTTCTTACCAACAGTGTTCCAAACAATTAAATAATAAACTCACTGTTTGAAAACAAATGTCACTATTGTCCCGAGAAGTGTTCCGGTAGGTTATTCTGCCAACACACAGTAAGGCAATGGAGCAGAGAGTTCTAAAAGTTCAGGTAATGACGTGGTCGTCGATCCCTGTCACAGAGTTGTTGCTGATCCGTTCCGAAGTTATTTGTGAAAACTGTACACAGGGGCTTGGTGCAGGCCGAAGTAGCTTTCGGATCCTCCGTTCCCCTTGCAGTTTGTTTGGTATACGTTCGGGTTTCCAGGTCCAACAAACGGCAATGGGGGTGGTCATGTGATGATCACTAGGGTAATCACAATGGCTTCGAGGACGGATGATAATGATGAAAATACAATGACGAGCACAGATCATACAGACTACCTTGAGAATGCCTTGTTGCGTGTTGTTGTGGCTGTTGTTCTTTGTTGACACTGTTGTTGTTGTTGTTGTGGGCCCCAGACGAAGACTTTGTCTTGTTATAACTTCTTCTTTTTTGTGCTTGGTGCTTGGAGGTACCGAAGATCTTGTCTCCACCAATATATCCGCCGTAGCAGGACCAGTCCGTAGACGTTTCAGGCTGTCTACTACTATGCTGTTGTAGGTGTTGGTTGTTGTTGTGTGTTGGCGGATATTCCTCAAAGTGACAACACAAGTCCGTCTGCGGGTCCACAACGTTTTATTGTGAGCTGTGTTTAACTAGGAGCTTAGTGCTCAGCTCCCAGTTCCAAACTAACTAACCAACGCTCATTAATTCGACTAAATTCTCAGATCTGATAATCTGTCTTCCTAAAATGGTATTATGGCAAGACCATGTGGAACCTCGTCCACAACCCACATGCCTCTCGTGCAGTGGTCATCTGGATCATCCTACTCTTGACCTAATAAGACCATAGCAGAAAGCCACAGTCTCAGAATTTCAAGAGTATGTTTAAATCATGCACCCATTATCAGGCCAGCGGCCAAACAGCTGACCAGTACATGCCTGACCTGTGACCTCGTTACATCCCCCCATGCGGTGTTAGCTAAGGGGAGAGGGGGAGACTATCGGTGTTACGACCCAGCCGGGAATTCGCCCGGCGCACACTGCGCGTGGCACACAGTATAGTGTATGTGGTATACAGTATATTGCACTCGATATACTCAACTGCATTCGCCCGGCGCACACTGCGCGTGGCACACAGTATAGTGTATGTGGTATACAGTATATTGCACTCGAGATACTGTATACTGCATGTGATACTGATGATGCTGTCGATGGAAAGTTTTGTGTCGATATGGTCTATACAGGACTCTAATCGGGATCGCAGGATTGCTAGGGATTCTTCTAGAGGAATGTGAGTGAATAAGTCTACCACGTCATAACTGACCATGGTGCCACAAGCTTGGTAATCCTTAAGTTTGTTAACAAGCGATGATGAATCAGTGATGAAGGATTCACCTTCTTTCCCTAATGGTGCTAAAAGTTTCGACAGGAATTGGGCAGTATTGTAAAATACCGACCCTCGGGAGCACACTAAAATTCTGGTCTTCACTGGCGATTTATGAATTTTGATAGTGGCACGAGCGTAAGGTGGCTGGGAGTTGTCGTCATAGCATTGTGACGTCATAAGCATTGTGACGTCACGGCCAGAGTTAACAGTTACTGTTCAGTTTTACCTGATGATGGGGCCAGAACAAGCCCTGAAACGTTGTACTCGAGAATAAAAAGAAGATGTAACCCAGAAAAAATCTCTATGTTCATCAAATATCATCTTCTAAAATGCCAATCAAGCATCTACTCAGCTTCATCTGGATGTACTGATCTAAACTTACGTTGGTAGTAGAAATGCGACGTTCATATTGCCCCATATGGTTTACGTTAATGACAGATGTGATTAAAATAATTCAGAGAAGATATTTAATCCGAACGTAAACCGTCATCAAACTGTTATCATTTGTTTTTTTCTGGTAACGTTCGTCTAACGTAGGGGGGCAGACACATCAATAGAACAGCGCGCCAGTTATCTCTGTGCGCGGATTCTTAATTTAGGTCACCGACACCGTCGTTTGTTTTCTGCCTTAATAAAGTTAATCGTAATTCTCCTTAGAAAGTATTAAATTTGGCATCTTAGAAAAGAAATACAGTTCGCTCTACCACAATGTATAGTGTAATGAAACACACTTTCGCCCTGAACTATTATAACGTTAAAAGCACTCGGACGCAAGCGTCCTCGTACTTAACTATAATAGTTCAGGGCGAAACTATTATAACGTTAAAGCACTCGGACGCAAGCGTCCTCGTACTTTAACTATAATAGTTCAGGGCGAAACTATTATAACGTTAAAGCACTCGGACGCAAGCGTCCTCGTACTTTAACTATAATAGTTCAGGGCGAAAGTGTGTTTTATTACACTATACATGGTGGTAGAGCGAACTGTATTTCTTAAATGTTTTTATTTTTATAGTGATGTTGCAACGAGATTAACGCACAGACAGTCCAGCATCCAATCCGACGCAAGTATTCTGTACGAAAAATTACGGGAAAGAAATATGCATATATATATTCATGTCCCATTTCGTTATTTTTTTGCAGGTTGTGGTAACAAACATACATTAATAAATAACCCGTGAAGGTCCGGGTTAGAATGAACCTTCAGTAACCCATGCTTGTCGTAAGAGGCGACTAACAGGATCGGGTGGTCAGGCTCGCTGGCTTAGTTGACACATGTCATCGGTTCCCAATTGCGCAGATCGATACTCATGCTGTTGATCCCTGGATTGTCTGGTCCAGACTCGATTATTTACAGAACGCCGCGATATAGCTGGAATATTGCTGAGTGCGGCGTAAAACTAAACTCACTCACTCACATTAATAAAATTACTAATGAAACCATTTCATTCACAATATGATCCGACGATTAGCTTGCCACTGAAATTTTCAGATTGATAGTTGTCACTGTGTGACGTATCATTCCTCGTTACTGCCAGAGTGAGCATCGCCTTTCGAAAACGTTTGACGTCCGAAATCCAGTGATCCTTCTTAATGAAACTATAAACCGAAAATAGCCCCCTTCTCCAAATGGATAGTCGGTTGAAAACGCAGTAGATGCTATCGCCGTTGTTTGGGCGTCGTTGATGATGCCCTACAATTATGATTTCAAATCTAAATAAAGACTACTATGGTTACACTAACAACATCTGACAAGCATCCCCACAATATCACCCAAGAAGATCTACAGAAGTTGTCTCCCTTTGTCACTCTCCAGGCTACATCGGTAGATATGTTTGCATCATGGAGAAGTTGAAACTCGGTCATTGGGACACAAAATGTGAGGATTTCTGTATTTAACACCGTGCGTATTTCAGACGGATTATTTTCTTGGATAGAATATGAATAGGTTATATCTTTAGTACTATTATATGAGATAAACAATGGATATTAGTGAGGACAACGTTCAAATGCTTCGGGACATGGGGTTCCCGTGCGAATCCGAAGTTAGGAGGGCACTCCGTATGGCCAAAAACGACCTGAACGAGGCCGTTGCCATCCTCGCAAATGATCACCCATCTTCGTCATACGACACACTAGATGACGTTGAAATGAAGGATGTACACCGACGAAGTACACACACCCAGGTGTATGGACCCCATCTACCGCCCGCCTACGACGAGGTGGTCGAGTCTCAGGTGAGTTCTTCAATCATTTGAGCAAGCGGCGGTACATCACGCCCAACTCTTGACAGATGAAAGTATGCAAGTCTCATACACCTTATGTCAAAATAAAGATGTTGCATTTGAAATCTCGAATGTTTGAGAATGAGATGTAAATACATGATTCTGTCCTGAACGCATGTCATGTGGACTTAAATCACCATGTACCCCAAATGAGACCCAACTTACACTGCATTAGGCCTACTGATTTGACCACCCTGACAGTAATTGTTGCATGGCGAACATATTACAGAATAATAATTGGATGCCTAAAAGGACACATTGAGGAAGTACTGCATATACACTTATGTGTATTGTACTTGTAGCATAAAACACGAAACCTAATTTCTATATGCAACTGAGCTAACATATTTGTATATAAATCATATTCGTGTTCTCATTGTTGTGGTAGCAAACACTATGGTTTAACTGAAATGGCAATGTAATTTACTTCCTTGCTGATGTATTTTTGTGAGCTAGGACCCCATGATATAATTTCAAGGATTGTCGTCAGCTTCCTTTCTGAATGTGTTGGATTCTTGGAACTGCTTCAAGAGAAAATATCACCTGTTATCCGACTCCCATCAGGCCACATACATAAACATGATAAAAGAGTGATGGCTTGCCACTATTGATGAATAAGGATCATTACTGATTCAGAAAAATGGACATTGTATGGTCAGAAATACTGTGTTCATGAAACTGTTTCAGTGAAGATTAAATGGTTTTTGATTTCCATCAGAAAAATCAAACATGAAATCTGTGACTGATATTTTCAAATAATGTTATGTTATTTTTGTGTAGTAGATGAAGCAGGTATCTTTCTAGCTATGAAGAAACGTACAAAATATTTTGCATCATACTGATCTTGTGTCGACATCTCTGTTTAGAATTACACCTCTGTATCCCTTCCGTCACTTTCTAACCCCTCTGATATGTATGTGTATAATGGGCCGATGGCCCCCTTACTGAATAAACACACACACACTTAAAAAATTAAGCAGGTTTTATGGCATGCTTCATGATTATCATTTATCTTTTCATCCATTCATAAAGTTTAACTTTGAACTTCTCCAAAAGAACTGAACATGATGAAGGCTTTAATCTGAAAGCTTTGAGGGATACAGCCAAGTCCTATTAATTGAGTGTGTTTAGTTTTATATCATTAAGATAAACAATAGTAATTAGTATCAACATTCACGATAACAAATCAGACAATTACACATATGTACATTGTCATGAAATAATTGAAAACAAAATATTCATGTTGTTATTTTGTTTATTCCTTTCTTCCCTATTTGTCAATAATGGGGCAAATATTTATGTATTATTACAGAAACCATATACCGATATGGTCTCTGATTATTAGCATTCTTAAGTGATAATGAAACATGCTGGTGTAAACTGGCCTATTTGTGACTGCACAGTAACTAGGGTTGAGTGTTGCCTTGACATTGTACTGTGAACTATTGTGGTAGGTCTCTACAGGCATTCAGTAGATCGATATAAACATGTCAGGAGTATCAGGAGTAAAATCCTAAAATGCTGTGTATGTGTAATAAACATGAAAAGAAGTTGTAGTCCATAATACTCATCACATTGTGATATGCTGCGACTGTATTGTGACAGTTTGTTTTTATTTGTAGGAGAGAGGAGAGACAAGCTATCCAACATCCACATCAATGGAGGACAGCAACAGTCTGGAGTTCCCTGTCACCAACCTGTATGAGTTAGAGGGCAGGGTATTCACAGAAATGTGGAACATCCCTTATAAAAAAGGAAGAATCATTGGGCAAATGCCTGGTTGCAGCATCCAAACTGGCTGAAGCAGGTACATGACAGGGTCACTGAATAGGGCTTGAACGATATGCTTGCTATGAAGATAAGTGCTAGTGATTTCCTGGCTGCCACTTTCATATGACCTAACACACATGTACAATAAAACAAATGGTGATGCACTAAGAGACTAACATAAAACTACCTTCTCTGATGGTTGTTTAGATTTGGGGCTAAAAAATACCAGTGAACCTTTCGATTGTCATGTGTGAGTTACAGTGACGGCTGTAAGTAATGTGCACTTCTTTTCATTCTTTTGAATATGTTCTTATGACTATACCATGATCATGATGAGTTGATGATGAATAACCTTTCAACCATGAAAAACCAAAAACAAGTGTACATTAATTACCTGGGAAAATAGTTTCCACAGTGACATGATGTAGGAAAATATGTATTGAAACTTAGTTGGTGAACTCTTTTTGGCCTAAGAGTCAAGTTTACTTATACAATGGTCAGTTTGTCTGCTGTGAGCATGGTGAGTGATGGTGTCCATGTCATCTGTAAATGTCTTCTCATCAGGAACCATTGAACAAGATAAGCTTAAACTTCATATGGATGTTGCCAGCAGTCATGTCATTTCACATTGTTTAAGGGGTTGGAGTTCCATTTTCAGTGTGGAGACCTAAATAGCAAACTGAAAAAAACCCTATTTATTGCCTTCCTCAATCAATTTTATTCAAAATTTAATGAAATTTAGTGTATAGTAAGTCAACACATTTCTTCCATTTTTAGGTGATATATTTGAAAGTTACTTTCTTTAGATACTTATTTTCGAACATGTTCTTAAATGCTTAAGTTGTCTCAAAATGCTGTTTTGCTCTTGCTTGAATTTTGAAATTTGGTCACTTTTCTTTATTCTTTAATGATAATCATATTTTGCTCAAGTTGTTGATGTCCTTGGTGATATATAAACTGTTGACTTCATACCAGGTGAACTACAAGGCCGGGGTACTATTTTTTCCAAGGTTATAGCCTAGTACATACTTTGTTTGTCCAGCCTTGATGAAAAGGCATTACACAGTGACATTTCAAAATTCAGAGATATGTATGTCATGAGGAATGCTGTCAGATTCACAGATTTAATAACTCCAGTTTTTGAGCAGTATTGAGGAAATGTCACCCAGCACTGAGCACAGCAGACATTGGTAGAACCTAATAAATATCTAATTTGTTCCACAGATTCTGGCTCTTTACCTGTTGTATGTAGTTAATTGAATCATAGACCATGCAGATACAAATACCAGCACAGAAAGCAGACATATTCAAGACTTGTATGTCAGAATTCTGTCAACTTCATTACTTTAAAGTAAAAAAATCTTTTAAAGAAAATCCAGGCTTTGTCTTTGCCAGGTCTCAGTGTTTTCATACCTACTATGTAAATTGTATTGTTGAAAGCTCTAAGTGGTGTTTCTAATTACTGTTACAGGACTTTGTGAAAGCGATGAACACTGTAAGCGATTCTTGGACAGGTGTATGCCAGAAGCGTTTCAGAAGGTAATTAGCTTGTTGAATTATTTTCTGTTACCATCCTATGTAGATACTTCCAATAAACTATGCACAGAAATGTACTGTTCTTGAAAATATTTTTCCGTTATCTTCACTCGTACTATTTACTTCTCTCTCCTTTGATCCGAGGGCGGTGGGGTAGCCTAATGGTTAAAGCGTTGGCTCGTCACGCCGAAGACCCGGGTTCGAATCCCCACATGGGCACAATGTGTGAAGCCCATTTCTGGTGTCCCCTGCCGTGATGTTGCTGGAATATTGCTAAAAGCGGCGTAAAACTAAACTCAGTCAGTCAGTCCTTTGAACCGAGATAGGGTGGAAACGCTCTGCGTTATGTTCCCCAAGAACAGTAAAAACATCTCACCCAAACGCACCCCTCCACTACGGATGCACACTGGCAACCCATGTGACCAGCTGGTCGCTCATTGCTCTTATTTTTGTCCAAGGGGATGGTTGGGGGAAAAGGTCTCTTTCTTTTTGATATAAGCCATCCTAATAAAATTAATAACATTTTTCAAAAGTTTGGTTTAGATTATCTTTGTGAAGGTTCAGTTTATTGTAACTACAAGTTATTTTGTCTAAGTGGTGGTTAATTAGTGAAATTGTTTCGACTTAATTACACCCCTCTGATGCTCTTCATAACACTGTGCAATTTGTCAATGTGTTTCCGATCTGAGATCCACACACATCTTTCAACATGTGTCCCAACACATTGCAATATATATAATATTAATAAGATCAGTTTTGTGCCCCTTTGGGTATAAGTTTACTATAACAGGTTTGTAGATTATTCCAAGGATACTCTTTTTCATCATTCAAGTGCAGAGGTTAACTGTGGGTGGAAGAGTGATGATCTATTGGAAAATTAGAACATTCTAGAAGACTGCTTCATGTTGAAGCTTCCCAGAAGGTTTACATCTCAAAGTTAATACAAGATCCTCCCTTATCAGTGATCCTCTGAGTATATCTTATCATGCTTATGCTGCAACCATAGTTGGCAGAAGACACAACTCATGTCTAGTTAAAGAAGACTCACTTCTAATCAAAGAAAACAGCGTATAAAGCTCCTTTTGCCGTCATCCAAAGTACTGTTGGAATATTATAGAAGTGGCGTAAAATAACGCACCCACCAATCATCTCAAACATATCCTGAATCCTGACAGACCAGATTAGAACCAAGATACTGGGATGTCAAGGAAATCAACTCTCAAGGCGGGGATCATTGTCACCGTTCACAATTCCCAACTGATGGAGACATTGTGACAGTTTAGATCAACATCATCAAACTTGCCTGCTTTGCGGATCATATGTGTCCTCTCAGTGGGATTCAAGCTTTCATAAAGACCAGGCCCCTGCTATCAGTGAACAAAAGCTTGCATTAGCTGCCATCACTTAGTTCATATAATGTTGCTATGAAAATACTCATACATTAAAGAAAAATTCTTTCAGCTGACACTGAGCAAACAGGGAAGATTGGTTTGCTGAACCCTCAACACGAGCGTCTGAAGTGCAACATTATGAGCATGATTGTCACAATTATGTGGCTCAGTAATCTCATCAAAAGAGGGAAGATGGAATCAGCACATGCGCCTTGATGTAAACATAATCGGGGAAAATGAAGACTGGAAGGACCATTTTTTTATCTTTCAGAAGTACAAAGTTTTCATATGACACAGATTCGACAGTATTCGTCCTTTCAAAGTTAAATGACATGCATCAAATATTATGGAAATCAACCTCATAATGCATACATTCTACAGGGAGTTGGCTGGAGGTACACCGTTACTTCCACAGAACTTAGGAACCCTTTGTCTACCATACAGTTTTCACTGTATGAATTTGGCAGAATGCAGTTCCTATGATGAGTTTGCAAACAAACCATCCCAATAACCGCAGCTTATGTGAGTTGATGGATATTTGTACTTACCGCCATAGCCGTTACAGTGAGATGAACAGTGATTATTCTAGGGATTTCATTGTCTTTTTTAGATGACTTTGTTACTGTTCAGATCATTGCATCTTAGAAAGCATCATCACCGCATTACAAAAATAGAAACGTGGCCAACATGGTCAGACATTGTCTACAGATGAACGAATGATACATCAACAATTAGAAATTGTGACACCCAGGGCATGGAATCCATCGCCTCTTAGGTGGATTTATATGTTAACAGAAGAAGTTTACAGTTCCGAGTTTCTACAGGGGTGGAAATACCTTTAAAATTGCTAGTGTACTCCGGAACAGTGGAACATGTAAAATCTCTTGCCCTGATAATTTTTCCACTATACCGGCCGTTTTCTTTTTGATTTTTTAAAATAAACAACATGATTAACATTGGAAAGTCAACTGGACACTGGTACAGTGTGATATACAAATTAGCTTGCCTGACAGAAAAAAACACTGGACTCGGACGTCGGGCAATGGGTTATTTCCACCCCGGTTCTAACCAAAACATAATTCTGAAATGTTTTACCAGCTTTAGAACAAGTCTCATCTACCAGAGTTAACAGCAATGAACATGAGATTTCATCGAAATAGAACAATCCACCTTGACCACCAGATTAACATTTTTCATGTACCTGCAATATCCTCTTCCTTGGCAACTTTGCATATTCCAGCTGACACCAATAATAGGATCAGAAGTCACAGAAGATATATCAGTTTGTCTGGTCAGAGCTCTTTGCATTTAACTGAATAACAGTGTTAACAGTGTTATAACACCCTTTTGGATGAGAGCATTGATTCTCAGAACCTACAGGGCATCCTATCCGCACATTCACTGCTGTATCGCATTCATCAAGGAAGAATGTTAGTGTAATAATAGGAGTCATGATAAAGAAAAATATTTATTTTTTAAAGAGAAAATATATTTTATAGTTATCCTGACTCATGCACTAAGACATACTAGTAAAGTACAAACTTATATTGCAGATAGTAGACTTTTTACTGACGATTGAACAGTGGTGAGGACTGTTGTTTCTGTATGGGTTTGTATCACCTCTTTTGTTCCTGTGTCCCTCTAGCTCCTGACGTCTGCAGCAGTACACAAGTGGGGCAGTGAGATCCAGGAGGGCATATTTGACATGCTGCTGCTGCTCACAGACCTGGTAGTGGCACGCCTACAACATGACCCTGTGCCAGTTGGGCTGCTGGAAGCACTTAATTTGGTGAGAGTGAGAGACAGAGATAGCTGAAAAGTTCTGACCCTTACAATAAAAGATGGTTGTAATGCATGACTGTTGCTTTGAACTCATAGAGCATCTTTTGTATTCATCAAATCTGTAAAAGTGCAGAGTTTAACAGCAAACAAACTTGAAAAATTAGGCGTAACCATGATCAGTATTGCCATCAGAATTCTTTTTCATATATTCCTCCTTGGGGTACTTATAAGCATTGAAATGTCCATTTAAAATCCCTACGACAGTTGTAACAATATTTGAATAAAATATTTACAAAACAAAAAACTATGTTTTTGTCTTGTGAGACCACCCCTACAGGGCCCTACGGCCCCCTACAGTCAAGAGCAGGTAACTCTAGACTATAACCTCGTACTTCACTTTCCATGCTGTCGTTTCACCTGCTAGACGTGGGTCCACTTCGACAAGAACGTTGAATTTCCCTAAGCGACAATGAGTGTTTCAGAAACAGCTACTGTATGTATGGTTCTCTTTTTTCCCTGCATGGGCGATTTGGAGATTTGTTCTGAATATTTTCATTCATCTTTTTGTTGTAACTTGGTATCTGTCGCTGCCAGGTGCGTGTCAAGATGGCGGACAGGTACCTTCGCTATCCTCATTTTTCATTGTCTTCCCTTGTGGTTTGCAATGTTTATGTTTAGTGTGGTTATAGTGTTTTATTTGTATGTTATTACATGTGGGGCATTTGTTTCCGCTGCTAGCATTTTCTATATTTACGCTATCAGTCGTAATTTAGTTATGTTACAGTGTGTCTTACTTGTTATTATCAACTTAATGCTTACCGTATATGACCGTCTATAAGACGACCCCATGGATAAGACGACCCCCAAACTTGACCCTTAAAATCAGTGTCAAAATGGTATGTGTATAAGTCGATCCCCCGCGATGGGGTCCTAATCGCGGCAAACACAGACAACAGACAACTGGCAGTTACCAATAATTATAACTTTGGTCCACATTATTCAAAGAATTCACAATCATATATATTGTGTCTTCTCACGGATCGAAACGAAGTGTAGTTTACAGAAAATGCATAATATATTTTGCTTCTCTAAATATAATATTTATTGTAGCAACAATTGGCTTATTTATTTTACCCCATTCAACAATCACGAACTGATTACCGCCTCGTTTTCCATTGACTGCTAGTTTACAGTAACATCGGTAAAAATGTGTGAATTTAAATGGCTTCCGTATTTTACCCCATTCCATGTGCTTACCACGTTCATGAGGGTCCGTATAACCTTAGTGTTGATTATATATATTTTACATAAAAACTGTAAATAATCCCTGCAAATAATACAATGCCCAGCAAAAACAACTTATAACTGAAAAGGTAAATAATCTTGTCTAGTGATGTTTAATTGCAAATTTGACGTCTCTAGTGACAAAGTCGTCTTCTGTTGTTTGTTCACGCGTAGTGATACGATGTTGTTTTCTTACCCCTGGAAAAAAGTTTGACGAAAGCGTAACCCATGGATAAGACGACCCCCTTCTACAAACTGCTTTTTTTGGTCCTCAAAATTCGGCTTATAGACGGTCATATACGGTACATTATCTGTCACGTATATGTGTTGGTTATATCGCATTAGTTGTGGTCGCCCATACATGTTTTTTATCATATGTATGTACGGGTACGTTACTGCTCGGTTTTTATCACTTGTTGCAGTTTAAATCCTGTGCTTCGTGCCTCGCCTCTATAACCGTGAGGGACACTCACGAGGTGTGCTTGCGATGCCTTACGGAGGCCGATCATGAGGAGAGGGGCTGTGCAGCGTGTGCTATTTTTACCCCTAAGACTATTAAGTCGAGACGGGTTAATACGCTGTTGTACAGCAATTTGCTTTGAGCGGGGGGTGATATCTGGGGCCAGGATCCCCCGTCCAAGCGCTCTCACGGTAAAAAGAAGGGGTCCTCTGGAGCCGCCTCCTATACAAATCGGCTCCAAACGGGCGAAGGTTACTAAGGAGGCTTCCACTGCCCTTGTCTCTCCTTTCTGTATCTACCCCTGTATTTATATCCCCTGCACCTACTGTTGCTTCGGCACCAGTTGTTACGTTTGATGCATTAACCAATCTATTTCAGGAACAGATGTCGTCCGTGAAATCCCTGATTGACACAACGCTGTCTGGGTTCCGCAAGGAGCTCTGCACGCCTGTTGTCGGGGGTGGATCGGACACATCTGGGGTGGTTGGCTGCGGCCCGAGCTCTGGCTCGGGGAACGCGCCTCCTCCCAGGCAGCTGCGCCTCAGGTGATGGCGTGCCTTCGGTGCCTTGTGGCGACCTAGCTTTGGGCTCAGGTTCGTCACAGGCGCCGGTGATGCAGGTTTCACCCTGTCTTCGCCTGGTGCCCTCACTGGCGGTCGCCTTGGCGCCGACCAGCTCGGGGGCACCTCGGCGCCTAGTGGTCAGTCTGGGTTGCCCGGGAAACCTGTAGGGGCAGGTTCCTCTCGGGCACCTTGGCACCCTGGTCTGGGTTCCGAGGTGCCGAGGTTGACATGGAGGAGGATGAGGGGAGAGAGGAGTCGGAGGTTGGGGTAACGTACTCCTTTGGGTCGTCCCTGCGGCAGGTTCGCGATAGGATCGCTGAAGTACTGCCCCAGGTGGCTCCCGATCCCGCAAAATTTTGGCTCCTGGTTGAGGCATTCGCGCCCAGGCGGGTTGCCGAGGTCTGCCTACGCATTTTGCCATCACTGGTGAGTGAGGTAGTTAATCCTCTCATTACTGGTGCCCGTACTCGGTTCGATTTACCGGACGTTGTCAAACGGTATCAGTTGGGAGAGGATGCGCTATTCGAGCCGCCAGTGATGGACGAATGTGTTTTCGCCTCCGTTACCCTCGGGGGGTTGTCCACGTCTTCATTGGCTTCGGCCAGGCAAGGCAGGCAAGGCTTCCCCTTTTCAAACCAATGCGCCCACGCTGAAGTCTGCATACCGGTCCTTTGAGGAGGGTTACCGGTGTGCAGCCCAGTAGTTAAAAGTGGCCGTCCACTCAGCTTACCCGTCGGCGTTACAGGGTCAGCTTGTGGACCAGAGCACTTGTGGTGCCGACTTGTCGGCTCCCGTGCTCGCGCATCAGCTCACGGACGTTCATTCTCATCCGGTTCGGGACAGTATAGGTGCTGTGCCAGCCAGATGATGGGTGCCGTCATGGGCATGCGTCGGCTTTGGTTGTCAGTGGCGCGCTATTCTCCAGCCACGCAACAGGTGCTCCTGTCTCTGCCATTCACAATGGGGTCCTCCCTGTTTCCTGGGGCACTGCAGGTAGTGCAGGAGGCTGCGGAGGCGGTGTCCACCTTCAAAGACTCTAAGACTTTGTTGGAACACCCCTCCATTCCTCGCCAACGGTCATCCCCTCTTACTGCAGCATATCCTTCTGCCCCGGCGAAGGAGCATGCAAAGTGGACTGCCCCTTTGCAAGCCAAGCGGAGTAGGAGAGCTAGAGGCAAGAAATACCTCAGGTTCTCCTTCGACGGGACGTGCTACCAGTTTCGTGTGCTCCCCTTCGGCATCTCCACGGCGCCAAGGGTGTTCACCAAACTTATGCTAATCCCAGCTCAGTTAGCCAGGTCTCAGGGCAGGTGGTGTTACCCGTACCTGGACGACTGGCTTCTCAGGGCCTTAGGTCCTCAGTTAAGCAGAGCATCCACACTGCATGTGATGGATATTCTGGTGTCACTGGGCTGGATTATCAACCTAAAAAAATCAGACCTCGTTCCGACGCATGCTCTGGTGTTCTTGGGGGCAAGGTTCAACACGGAGCAGGGGATTTTTTCCCTCGCTCCGGACCGTATTGTCAAAGTCCAGAGGACTGTGTTACAGTTTCTCGAGTCGCCCCATGCATCAGCTCGAACATGGCTTTGGTTGCTAGGCAACATGGCGGCGACAGTGGATGTGGTTTGGCATGCGCGTCTGAGGATGAGACCCGTTCAGCAGGCGTTAGCGCAGCTGTGGTCCCACTCGCAGAGCTACGAGACTATTCTCGCGACGTCCCGAGTGGGTGATTCCTTACTTGCGGTGGTGGATGGAAGTCGGGAATTTGTCCAGGGGGATCCCCCTAGACACCCCGACAACTTCCCTTTCAGTTCAGACGGACGCAGACGCCTCCCTCACAGGAGGGGGGGGGTGGGGTGGGGGTTGGGGTCCTGGGCGACCACTCAGTCTCAGGCCTATGGTCGGAGCGGGAAGTCAGCCTGCATATCAATGTGTTAGAATTGAGAGCAGTCCGCCCCGGGTGTTCCACAGCTTTCGGGAGTTTGTTCGGGGCCATGTTGTTCGTCTTGAGATGGACAATCAGACGGCCATGATTTACATCCTCAAGCAAGGTGGCACAGTGTCCCTGTCACTCCTTCAGGAGGTGTGGCAGTTTCTGTGGTGTGATCAGTTCAACATTCGGGTTTTGCCTGTTTATCTCCCGGAGGCAGACAACGTGCGTGCAGATGCTCTCTCACAGCGTATACTAGCCCCACACTAGTGGATGCTTGACCGGGGGATATTCAGGATTATCTCCCAGTTGTTCGGGTCGTTCCAGGTGGATCTGTTTGCGTCTGGGGTGACGAACCAGATTCCTGTGTTTTGCTCTCGGATTCCGGATCCGAGGGCGCTAGCCAACGATGCCTTTCAGCTAGATTGGACGGGCAGGGTACTGTGGGCGTTTCCACCGATCTCCAAGGTCCTGTCTCAGCTGACCGCGCAACCAGCTCGGCTACTTGTGCTTCTTGCACCCCTTTGGTCGGCTCAAAGTTGGTTTCCAGTAATCATCAGGTTTCTGGCTCAGCCTCCTGTTCTATTACCTTTTCGACCGGACCTCCTATCCCAGAACGGAGCGCCCCACCCGAATCCCAGGATTCAGTGGGTGGCTTGGCCGCTGTGCGGAATCGCCTCCAAGCGAGCGGAATTCCTACACCAGTTGCAGACACAATTCTGGCTTCGCGGAGGGATTCGACAAAAGTTCAGTATGAGGATAGATGGGCCTGTTATGCGCGCTGGTGTGTGAACAGGGGGATTCTTGATCCCTTTTCTGCAGATTTAGTCTCTGTGTTGGATGCCAGTCTAGCGGCTTCAACTGTTCGAGGATATTCTACGGCTATTTCGGCTTTCCATATTCTTGTTGATGGTGCACTCTTGTGGCGGCACCCTCTTGTGCAGCTCTTTTTAGCAGGCGTGGACAGAATCCGTCCGGCGGATTAGTCCCCCGTGGGACTTGCCAATCATTCTTGATTGGCTGTCCGGTCCACTATTTCACAGTCTGTCGGCTCTTTCACTCCAGCTGTTATCGTGGAAGGTGGCTTTTCTTGTGACAGTAACTTCGGGCAGGCGGGTAGGCGATATTCACGCAATGTCGGCCGATCCTGCGCTAACTGTTTATCACAAAGACAGAGTTAGCATACGGTTGCCTGATACTAACCGTCCTAAGAGAGATAGTGCCTTTCATGTGACGGCGCCTGTTGAGCTCCCGGCTTTCACTCAGCCTCCCCTGCCCGGTACCTCTCTACGTCGTGCTCATGTCTTAGATGTCCGTAAGACCCTTAAGGCTTATATCAAACGAACAAGGGGTATCTGTAAGGATAACCAATTGTTTTGTTGTTATGGCGGGGTCAAGGCTGGTCTTCCGGCGAACAAGCAAACCATATCTAGGTGGCTTGTCTCTGCCATACATATGAGCTATACTCACAAAGGTCGTATCCCACTTGAAGGTTTGAAAGCTCATTCGGTGAGGGCAGTTGCTACATCGAAAGCTTACGCTGCAGCCCTGCCCATTGAGGAGATCTGCTCCGTGGCTATTTGGAGCTGACCGAGTACGTTCATCCGTCATTACCAACTTGACAGACTCTCCAGTGAGCGTGCTCGGTTCGGTCAGTCAGTTCTCTCCAGTGGGCAAGGTTCCACCTCTCTAGCCGATTGAACTTTCGAGGTTTTTATGACATGAACCATTATCTGCCGATTTTAACTGGTGTTGGGTTTTTAAACCTATTCCCTTGGTGACGGGTTTTATATGGTAATGGTTTTTATTCCCATGTCTTCTGCATTACTCCGTTCTGCTCTAGACCTATTGCCTTGGAAACCTTTGCTTAATAGAAGAATTACGGCATTTTGTTTCTTGGGGCTTATTGCTGGATTCCCTTATCTTCACTTCCGATTGATTACGGGAGGGAGGGGGGTTTATCTCAGCTGTTTACATTTGTGAGGTTTCGCATTGTAATTGTAATGTGTTCGACCCTGACCCTGGCTCATGCCCTCGCCTGATTGGCTATGGTGGACACGTGACCAGGTAAGTGAGCATTTTTCTGCTTTTTTTAGCTTGGGAAATTCCTCTTCTTGTCGGGGTTATTTTTTCTGCGGACAGAATGCCACTCCCTAGATCCGTCTTTAGGAGTCTGTCTTATGCTCATAAGTACCCCAAGGAGGAATATATGAAAAAGAATCGAACTAACCTGTAGAGGTTTCAGATTCTTTGAATATATTCCTCCTTGGGGTACGCCTGCCCACCTCCCCACATTCTGTCTGATTTCGTTCAGCATGGAAAGTGAGGTATGAGGTTATAGTCTAGAGTTACCTGCTCTTGGCTGTAGGGGGCCGTAGGGCCCTGTAGGGGTGGTCTCACAAGACCAAAACGTAGTTTTTTGTTTTGTAAATATTTTCTTCAAATATTGTTACAACTGTCGTAGGGATTTTAAATGGACATTTAAATGCTTATAAGTACCCCAAGGAGGAATATATTCAAAGAATCTGAAGCCTCTACAGGTTAGTTCGAATTTCTTTTTAAAAATAAAAATGGCTTCTAGAACCGTTCTTCAAAATTGTGGTGTTGACAAATGTGTGTATTTGAAATGACAATGATAGTGACAAGAAGATGTTGTACATTATTTCTTTTAGTTTAGAATTGGTCAAGAGGATCAGTTGAGATAGTCATTGCAGTATCTGGTGTGAAATATTTCTGATCATGTCCATATTCACAACTGACATGTTTTCATCAGGCATTCAACAGTGAGACCGAGTTTGAGCTAAAAAATCGTGATCGCCGAGACCGCACTTGCTGGGAAGAGAAGTTTGAAGGTGGTCAACCAGCAGCTATATCTCCAGCCAGCAATTTCAAGGTAATCTCCACTGTATGATTCTCTATGAACTCAGGGAGGTCATAGACTTTGTTGGTTCAGTTTGTAGCAGGACCATATGTGTATAGGTCTCACATACTTTTGTGGAAAAAATACTTAGGGATGCTTTTTCATCCAAATAATCTTTGGCTATACAAAACGATCAATGAGTATGATGATTTTAGGGATTATGGATAACTGTGTTCCAAGTACATCCTGCTGATTACGATGAGAATTGGACATGTGATTTTGATGTTTCTCAGTCATCCCACCTTTTGGATAGACCGCTTTCATCACTGTCTGGAACGCATGTATAAACTGCTGTGAAATAGCTGGATTATATGCTGACAACTTAGTTGTACAAAATTTTCTCAGTGCCTGACACGAAATCATTTTATCACATTAAAATCTTTTAAACTTATCCTATCTCACGTCTTGTACTCTCTCTCTTCAATTTGACCAGCTGAGTGGAAATGAATTGCAAAGAAAATCCAAGGCCTCTCTTGTCCATTCACCCCTGCACTCCAGTGGCGGATCCAGAGGGGGGGTTCGAACCTATGGATTTAAAACTTGGCAATCTCTCTGCCATAGATGATGACATAGCTGCGCTCTGCCCGATAGGAACAACACTCCATTCTTCATCTAGGATCGTGAACTTGCATCTAGATACAGCCATTCGACCAACCTTTCCAGCTATCTACATGATGATTATATACTAATGCGCTGAATTCCACATCTCAGAGTGACATGCTCAAGCAGTCTGATTATTTTACTCTGGATAACCCTGGCTACCTGTGAGGTGATAGACTTATCCCACCGGGTACCCCTTTTCTGTTGGGTGAACAGAGGCAATGGCTATGTCAGTAGCACAGGCATTTAAGGTTACGCTTGGCACAAGATATCCCAGTGATTCGGGATCTTCAAGACTCCTGCGTGGTCGGGACTCGTCTCAATCCAGATCTAGACAACCATCACCTTTGACAAATGATTCGATTCAACGAACCTACCCTTCGCCTCAGATATCAGCTCTACAACCACCTTTATGCATTACTAGATAAGGTGGCAATCCAGGAATATTTTACAAACGCTTCACTGAGTCCTGTAACTACAGACAACTCGTAACATTGCTCTGGTGTGTCCTTGGGTGCAATCATGGCTTGGCTAGTCATCTTCATCATCGTTTTTATAATAAAAATAAAACATCACCAAGCCAGTTGGCAGATGGGTGAAGATTCAACACCAGCAGTGATGTTGAGTCAAGTAGTGAGCTTCCCCCGCCCTGATTTTAATGTGATGTGACTCGCCTGGTTAACCATGGACTGGGTTGTCGAGATTTTTTATCACTGTTGCATTGTGCATTTTTGCATTGTAATAGCATGCACATGGCGGACTACTGTTTGTACACCTGGGAATTTGATGATCTGAGTGATTATGTAGTGCCCTGACTGATTTTTTTGGTGCAGATAACAATGCCAGTGACGATGATCGTTCTCATTGCCAAGAGTGACTGTGTTGGGACTTGTCGAGAGAGACAGCTTATCGAGGGTGTTAGACGGAAACGCCCTAGAACGTTTCGACAAGGGTTAAGGTTTCTTGGTTTTCTACATCAGCCCCAGACCTTACTTCAGAGGTCACTACAACTGCGTCCGATCCAATATTTCTACATCTGCTTTTGAGGTTCGATGATCCCCATGTGCTGTTGCTTCTACCTTCGTCATTCTAATGAACTTTCCTGGGATCACCGGTCTTGTTACCTCTGTCATTCCATCTACTTTGCGAAGGTTCCTGTAGATCAACGATCCCCATGCGTCAATTCTACTACCTTCGTCACTCCATTGCCGATCGTACGACCTTCATCACGACCTTTATCACGATCCCCATGTACTGATCCTACTACATTCGTCACTCCGTCAGCACATTCATGGTAATTTGACTAATTGAATGTTCCTATCTCCCTGCATCAGTGGCATTAGTTGCTAGGTCTTCTCACCTCAGGAGTTTGTTTGTCATCGTTCAAACCCACTCATCATCTCTTTGTAGACATGTCCCTCAAGGATGGGGTGCTCATCTACTCAGTTGTCTAGTGGCGGGGCTGTGGTTGTCCAATATCAAGGCCCTGCATATCAAGGAATTGGAGTTCAAAGCAGTTATTCTGTACATCAACCATTGGGTGCAGGAGGTTTGGTCCACCAGTCAGTTGATTCAGCCAGACAACTCGACCGTGACCTGGTACATCAACCACCTAGAATCAAAGGGTTCGTTGCATTGGGCACTTCAGTTCTTTCACCTCAGAGACTCCCTCGACATTGTAGCACGAGCCACACACATCCCCGGAGTCAAGAATGTCATCGCTGACGCCCTATCCCGAAGCAAATTCTCGGATTAACGAGGATGTTGGATTATCAAGTAAAGATCACGTCCATCATCAAAAACAGGACAATCTTGATTTATATGAAGCGTGTGTGTGTGTAATTAATGTTGGGATTCCACCTCTTAAACCATTATCGATTATCGACTTAAGATCACATATTTTACAGCTAAAGGATATGTACATCAAGATATTTGTATGTGTGAAAACTGAGGAAGTAGAACTCTAGATCTACGTGTCGACTTCGATGCAGAAATCAGAATAGAACGGCTATAGATCTAAGAGTAGATGTAACAAGTATCAATAAACCTATCTATTTCCAACCTTGTTCGTGAATTCGATGACATCTTTCGCAAATACAAAATGTTTTCTTGAAGTGTTAATATTCTTGAGGAGTATTCATTGTTTTAAAACCAATTCATATTTTCATGAAACATTTACGAAATCTTCGTCAATGCTTGCCTTTAAACATGGGTCAAACAATAAAACGACAGAACGGCTGCTCCCTCGTCAAGCTATAAATAGATTTGACTTCCTGTTTTATGTCAGTTATACGATGTTCATCAGGTGGCAGAATTTGTGTTCATAATCCTCATTGCTCCTCACGCATCATAACATCTTCAGCGACATGTGGCAGTGTATTTTCGGGGTAATTGATCACACGCATTGCTAATCTCAATGTCGGATTAATGGGACTAATTACTAAGAGATTACGACAGTCGGTTGTAATTAGGGCTGTCAGAGTCGGAACGCAGGACTGTGGGTTTACCCAAGACTAAATTACATTTATCAATTTGTTACCAACAAAAGTGTCGGCTAGAGCTGATTGTGGTATAAACGGGAGTCAGATTAACGAGACTTGACTGTATATATAATAAACGGTTATTAAAATAATATGGTATTTCAAATGGCACAAACATTACCTTACCACCAACAGGTGTAAAACATGGCCGGCAAAGATGGCTGCTGAGCAGGCACACATGCTAGTGTTACCTGACCTCATACAATGTTACAATATTACTGATAAACTTATCATAATAATCCTGATGAAGTAAACATGAAAATCATGCCTAAAAACACACATTATTTGACTTACACTATTCTTAAAACACATTCATACCTTCACATCACACAATTGATAACCTAAGCAAGAATAATGTTTATAATATAACTATACTTAACAAATATCAGATCCTACATAATATCTTTATAATTATATTAACTAACCTCAAACAGATAGTATGTACATGTATATAGCTGAGGGAGAACTCTGTCCATCAAAATATCAAGATATCTCTTAAGATGCCTTTCCTGTTGGACTGTATGTGGTAGACTAATTAAACTGAGCTAATGATAGTAAAGAAGAAAACAGACAACATTAAACTGACCAATCAGAGATCAAGGCATCGCTTGCCCTCTTGAGTTAAGAACAAAAGAACACCCTGCACTCCCACAATAATACAATAGAGCCAAGGTCCAGCTTGGGGCAATCAAGCTGGAGACAAATACCATACATACTCTAATAAAATCCAATAAAACTACCACAACCAAACTATTTAATGATGATACCGTATTTACACAAATAAATAAAAATTAAAAATATGACACTGGCGCACACACTAGGGCTTTGGAGTCCATCCACAGAGCGGTGGCTTCATCTTAGACTTTGAGGCACAGTCTTGTACTCCAACATAGAAGTGATGACCATTCACGCTTACTGACCTCTACTCTCCGGAGCTATAACGTCAGTGAAGTGTGTCCTCCCGCAACTCAACATTAAAATAGTGAGCTTTCCGAGTTGTTTGCAGGGACGGTCTTGAAGCAGGGCCTGGACAGATTAAGTTCGAAAGGCTTTAATTCACTGTGGCTTTCTGGAAATCATGATTAGGCGAGTTACTTTTTAAAGTTGCGTCCTTTTGTCTCGTATAAAGGTTGCGGCCGAAACACCACTTCGCTTAGGAGCACCCATCTCCCTGGGAGTCATTGTGCTTAGTAGGCCAAGGGGTTCTGGAGAGCCCATCACAAGCATAGGAGTTACGATTTTCGTAACATGCCTTCCTTGTCCATTGCTATCTACAGTTGACTTCAGGCTACACAGCGTCAACTGTTCGCACTGTCCTGGCAGGGGTAATCGCAACCCGCCATCCAACCGTGAGATAAGTTCAATACGTGAGATAGGATAAGTTTGAAAATTTGGAAATTCTAACTATAAATTGTATATTTATATACTTATCCTATCTCACGCGATGGATGCCCACCCGGCCTCCCTACTACTCAGATGATGACGTTGCTCCAAGAACAAGGATGACTAGGGAGAGATGGTCATGTCAGCAGGTAGTGGAGCGAGCTGCATGCTTCCCACTAGCTACCCAGATGTCCTATTAAGAGAACAGCATGGAGTGCATGAGCGAATGGACAAGAGAGGCAGAGGACTGTGTTTGCAGTTCATTTCCTCTCAGCAGGTTGAATTCAAGAGAACTGAAGTACTCACAAGACGTGAGATAGGATAAAATTACAAATGTACAATTTATAGTTAAAATATTCAATATTTGTCTTTATACTGACTCGTATGTTATTCCTTTATTTCCCTTTGTTCTGAGGTACAGCGGAACCTCTGTCCTATTGTTCCCTGATG